TGAGTTGTTATAGACATATACTACTTAGATTCTTATCCAGGATGATTATTTGTTAGTTCCTGAACTCTAGAGATAGATTTAGAGCTGACATCTACTTGGGTATAAGAGCTTAAAGCCTTTGTGTGGTTATGTTGTGCTGAGAGATCGTCAGTGCAATTACATAGTTGTCCTCTGTGTTGTTGAGGAGGTAGAGAGATCATTTCCTTGGTGATACAATCGGTCTCTCAATTTAGGTTAGAAATGACTTAGGTTGTGAGTGATATGTGGTGACATTGATGAGTATTGTTAGGTTGAATGTAACTGGTCGATAGATTTAAGTCTATGATGAGTAGATTATATGCAGGCTTGATAAGTTCTTCCTTAGTTTTTACTTTTGTTTATATTTATTTCCTGTTGATAACATTTTCTTTACAAACCTATTTATCCCAAAACTCATTAACAAGAGATTTGTTAAACAATAATTCAATAACCAATATCTATGGCACGATAAATTCCCCAATAAATATTTCCAAAAATTTTGTTGCTTTCCGCTACACCGCTTCCAACAAATATGATTCATAGTTGAACCATTGTTGCATTGACTATGATCGTAGAATATGACTCATAGTTAAATCATTGTTGCATTGAATTTGTTTGTAGAATAAGAGTCATAGTTAAATCATTGTTGAATTAACTTTGATCCTAGAATATTATTTATAGTTGAACCATTGTTTCATGACTTTGATCATAGAATATGATTCATAGTTCTTCATATTGTTGCATTGACTATTGTCATAGAATATGACTCATGGTTGAACCATTGTTGCATTGACTGTGGTCATAGAATATGAATCATAGTTGAACCATTTTTGTATTCACTATGATCATAGAATATGATTCATAGTTGAACCATTGTTGCATTGACTTTGATGGGAGAATATGATTCATAGTTGAACCATTGTTGCATTGACTATGATTGTAAAATATGAGTAATAATTGAATCATTGTTGCATTGACTATGGTCGTAGAATTTGATTTATAGTTGAACCATTCCATTGACTTTAACCATAGAATATGATTCATTGTTGAATCATTACATTTACTTTGATCAAAGAATATGATTAATAGTTGAACCATTACATTGACTATGATCGTAGAATATGGTTCATGGTTGAACCATTGTTGCATTGACTATGATCGTATAATTTGATTCATAGTTGAACCATTGTTGCATTTACTTTGATCGTAGACTTAAATACGATAGACTTAAATATAATTTTTTAATTTTAGAGAAAATTATTATTTTTAAATACAATAGACTTAAATATAATTTTTTAATTTTAGTGAAAAATTACAATAGACTAAAAAAAATCAAAATCTGGTGCAGTCAATTTTGACAAAGTTTTCAACTATTTTAAATCACGGCCGCTTATTTATTATAGAGAGCTGTGATTAATTTGATTTGTATATATTAACCATTGATTTATATCGTACGATTGTTAATTATACTCTATCAACGCATATGATGCACCAAATTGAATCGGAATCCTTCCTGTTGCTTCATATTCCATGACGCTTCATGTTTCGTTCTCTCTCACCCATATCAAAGTGAAAATTGAAAATTTTCTTTGGAGGGAATCCTACCCCCAAATACTCGTACCACATTCCTATGCAGATTTTACATTTGCCTTCGCCTTAAACATTCGTTCAATCATGTCTTCGGCCTCTGTTTCGAACTACATGCCCCTTCAAATACCAGAATATGGTTGCAATAAACCAATGAGGTTGTTCATCTCCAATTCAAATGATAACCCTAAAAGGAGGTATTGGAAATATGCAAATTGTGGGGTGAGAGAGATTTCATTTTATTTGTTACGATTTTATTATTTTATGAGTTGGAGTCTGTTATTGATTTTATTAATTTTTATACGATTTCTTATACTAAACAATTTATTATACTAAACGATTTCTTATTTTAAACAATTTCTTCTTTAAAACAATTTCTTATTTTATGTTTGTTTTCATTGTTCGTTTAATTCATTTATAGGCAATGACAAGTTGTAAGATGTTCATATGGGATTATGATATTTATGTTCAACCTCCATATGTTCTTAAAATAGGACATGAAACCAGAAATTTGTTGTTTAATTCGAACGATGAAAATACACACATTGCGAAGATATGTTGTGGTTGCAACTGCTCAGAGATTTTGAAGGACATGACTACCATATTTAAAGAAGTTCAATGTAAGAAAGGATAGAAGATGAAGATGAAACTACAAAATGAAAGAAACACACCCAAGATGTTTAAGACCTTGTTGTTTTTTCTTTGATTATTGTTGTTAGTTATTTTAAGATGTTTTAGATGTTTATGCCACTAAGTTTGTTGAACTGTATAAGTTTGTTGCATGCCTAATACAAGAAATGTTGCATTCATCTCATCTTAATTATGTTTTTCGTAATGTTTTTAATGAGCAAACGATTAATATTGATTATGTAAAAAAATTGAACAGATGGTGTACAAGAAAAAAATCCGTGTAAGATTTGCTTTGTTCCACTGATATGTCGAACTTTTGTACCACTGATACACCAATGACATACCATATTTTTGTTAGCAGAGTTTTTAGTATGTGTTAGCCAAAATGGTTGTACCACAAAATGCATTCAATTGATACTCCATTAATTTGTTCAACTGATACATAATTAAACAATGTACATTTTGTATATTTTTGCTAAAACAAATTAAGCACAAAATGGATTCAACTGATACAATAGTAACATAGCTTAATGATACACCATGACATACCATGGAAAATACAATCAAGATGTGAACTACATAAAAATTGAATATTTTATTCTCAAGATCTCCAAGCTATCTTCAAAACATCTTCATCCATGGTCATCTCGTCTTCAAGCACCTTTCATCTTGCCCTCATTTTGCTTATAACCAGTGCATTTTCCAATACATTATATCATTACAGTGAGGGTGCATACATTTCATGGAAAAAAATCATCACACAATGTTATACAAATCCACTTTAGTTTCAAAAAAGATGCTACAAATACACGTACAGATTCACATATTGCGTTGGTTTTACTCCACTCAAATTAAAAGTCCCTCTGTTATGACCTAAAAAGGAGTATAGAGATGGAGGTATTCTAACCTTACCCATGTAATACCACGAAAAATCACCTCCAACACATCACTTTTCATTCATGCTCAAATTATAGCTACTTCAATACTCATTCAAGTACCACCATTGTTCTTCACTTTTTATAGCCTATCGAAGCATGAATCTGAATTTTCTGCAAGACTCATTCCATAGAATGGGTATACGGGTTGTACGTGCATTGAATGCAATACCTGATGTACCACATGCATCACACTTTGCTTTTAATACATTGTAGGAATTGGTCAGCTTATGCTTCTAACTTTCGTGCGTACAGTCGTTCTCACATCAATGCTTCGAGGTTTCAATGGACCTGAACATTCATTTTTCACACTACTTTCACCATTGTGCCTTCTTTTTCCTTTCTTGTTTTGTTTTTAAAAAAAAATATATATTATTTTGATACATATAATAACACATTATAATTAATAAATCATATCAGACCTTGTATAAAACAACATTTAATACCTTCACAACTTGGATTAAGGAATCAGTTACTGACAACGACTCCAACTCAACATTTCATTCGAATGGCGCACTTTCTGTACCCTGCAAATTATTCCATAGAAACTACTATATTTATTAAAAGAACAAGACATTGACTCGCACGAATAGAATATAAGTTTTGAAATCACCGAACAATTCCTTGCATTATGAGTTGTATTGTTGCATTCAGAACATCGCCTAATAGCCTTTGTGTCATTCTTTTTTGTTCTTCTTTGGAGCACCTTTACTCTTCATAATCTTTGGATCACCTACGGATGACTTCGCTATCTCTATAGGATCGTCGGTACTACAATACTTTTTTGTAAAATCAGAATATCATCCATTATTTCCCCATAAACAACTTTCTTTTTTTAAGCTTCTTTGCAAAAAGTAGTAAAAGCAGAACAATACGCACCAAACTGAGCTTTCTTAATCATATTAGAATCAACAGTACCATTACAATTCATGTACAAATATTGAACTTTTGCATCCTTCGCCCATCGCGACAAAATCCTAGAGGTAGGAATACGATCAATATGGAATCCCACGAGAATCAAATAACATGCACTCATATTTAAGTGTGTTACCATCATAAAAAATCTTTATTTCAAAGTCGTCCCGACAATATTTTGTAAGTTTATAAGTCTTACATCCTTCGAGAACTAATTTTCCATTAACAATCAATGATCCAACCTTCATGATTTCTTGTCTGACTTCTTTGAAAATATCCGCCAAATAAATTTTCGCGGCATGGCTCTCAATCAAACCCAGGTGAGTAGTCAAGACAGGTTCTGTAAACTTTAATTTAAATTCTGTAGCAAGTTCATTATTTCTATAATCTCTCAAAGCTTTCTCAAAATTGTGCATAAATTCAAAAACACAATCTTTCTTCTTGACATAACTCTTGATGATTGCGTTAACAAGTTCACATTGAGACCTAGTTCTTATACGTCCAAAAAAATTCTCATGTAGATATGCAGTTTCCCATAGTGACCTATTCTCATACGTTTTTCAACCCAAGGATTTCCTCAAAGTTCATTCTCATTAATTAACTTTGACAAAAACTCTTCAGATTGATCCTTTGTAAAATTAGAGTACATGGCTTTTTGAAAACCTTGCAAAAAAACCAGAGTTCTTTATATTCTCACCTGCATTCTTATTCAAATGCCAAGCACATAAACAATGTGTTGCATCAGGAAACACCTGTTTTATAGCTTCCATCATCAACCCATCTCCATCTGTTACAACTGCTTCTAGATATTTATCTTCCGTGCACTCTAAAAAAGACTCCAACAACCACTTATATGTCTATATGGTCTCATATGATACCAATGCAACACCAAAAATAATTGTCTGAGAGTGGTAGTTACACCCTGAAAATATAACTAATTGGTAACTGTATTTGTTCTTCTTGTAATTTGTGTCGAACGCAACCACATCGCCAAAAACAAAAATAGTCAGATCTACTGCTCCCATCAGCCCAAAAAAGAGACTTTATTCGTCCATTACTATTGACATAATATTTAGCATATAGCATGGGATCAACAGATGACTTCACATTTAGATAATTTAAAGCAGCGACAACGTCACCATCTTTAATAGTAGCACACATTTTTCTATCAAAATAATTATACAGATCCTTCTTTGTAAACCCAACACGGGCGTATCCACCCTTCTGAGCAACCATGTACCTCATTAAATGACAAGTTCTAATTCCATGTGACTGAAGATTGTCAATCTGAGCTCTATTTGCTTTAGAAATTTCATGATAAATAAGGTGTAAGTGCACAAACCTAGATAGGGTTAATTCATGGTTGTGAGCCTCTTCAAATAACGGCACTACATATCTATTCGTGTCGACTTTGTAATGCACACAAAGCCTAGAGATACATTTAGTGCGGGTCAAACGCTGGTGATCTCTTTTCCTATCAACTCTACTAAAGTGTTTCATCTCTCTCTTATACCATGTTTATTGCATACAAACTGCCTCATTACTGTTATTTCACTACTCTCGGGCCCTCTTGTCATAACATCACTTTTTCTAATGGAAAATCCTTTACATTTACCATATTTAAAATAAAATTTATTAGCTTTATCAACTGTATCGAATTCCATAGCATGAATTTCATTAGCAGTAACAACATTGTGATCGGTGGATCTGGAACTTACTGTTTAACGCTGGTTCGCGAAATGTCGCGGAAGCAAGAGTCGCCACCGTCTTTTATTTTCTCCAACATGGAAAGGACAAAAGCACAGAAAAATTCCTTATGAGATTGTCTCTCGGTTCGGGAGGTAGATTATAGAAAGGGAAGGTGTTAGCACCCTTTCTATCCATGGTTATCCATGGGCTCTTAGATACTTGCTCACTTGTGTTTTCAAAAATGGTTTGTTTGCTTTTCAACTGTGGGTTTTAAAAAGTTTCTTTGAAAATTCCAGTTCGACTCTTGTATCGGTCCTCAAGAGTGTTTGAAAAATGCTTTCGAAAGCTTTTTGAAAATGTGTTGGTGTGAAAAGTATTTTTGATTTGTTTTGTTTTGAATTAGAGCAAGTATCCACGAGTCCTCTACCTACCCTAAGGAATTCGTCTGTGTAAATGTCCTTTAAAGTAGTGCCATCCTACCATTGAGAGGTAGGTAGCACCACCGTTGGAGGTGTTCGGGTCAATTCGAGGTTCGGGACATGGTGATCACCAGAGCAATGGGAAGACACCTTAGAAGCTACCCTCATGCCAGGTTCCCGGATCATGAGGACTTACTAAGACATCCTCTACTCGACGATCACCTTTCGAGGCAAGGCAACAGTGAGGCGTACCCTAGGGGTGGTGTGTGCGATTCGTGTGTCGTTTTCATTGATATTTGTCTTGTCATGTTTATTGGTGTTCTACGCTTGATTTTATTTTAAGGCCATTCATTCTTGCATGCTTTGTTAACAGTTTAAAAGTTTGCGAGAAAAGTAAATTCTAAGCTATTACAAATGGCGCGGGTCCACATCTCCAAAATTAAACCGGACCCGATTTGACAGAAAATAAATAAAGCAAATAAAGTAAAGTGCGAGAAGTAATTAAAACTTTACAAGGCTTCGGGAGAGGTACATAATTATTCAAGCGAAATAAAATAAATATGCGAAATTAAACAATTACGTCGAAAGGAGGGCGTTGGACCCTTTTGCAAAAATTGAATTAATAAGAAATTAAAATTAAAATTAAAAGAAAGATGTTTCTGGTATTTTTATGTTTTTTAAGATTTAATAGAAAAATAATTAATTAAAACTAAAATAAAATGTTAAACCTAGTTCTAATTATTTTTTAAGTTATTAAGAAAAATATTAAAGTTTTTTTGACCTAAATGAAACCTAAGTTATTTATGTACAATTTAATTATAAAAATAAATAAATAAATAATATTATGGTAAAAGGAAAAATTAAAAAAAAAAAAGGAAAGAAAGGGAATAAAAATATTAATTAAACCTAATCCTATATTTTTTAGATTTTGTTATTAAAAGAAATTAAAATTACAACCTAATTAAAACTAAATAATTACTTGTGAATTTATTTATAAAAATATTAAAACAAGAACATTTATAGTATTTTTTATCTTTTTCTGATTTTTAGGCATTTTTTGTATTTTGTAAAAATAATTAATTAATTTAAAACAATAAAGAAAATAATACAATTGAAAAAATAAAATATAAGAAAAAGATAGAAAATTGCAAACCAGGGGGGTTTCAGTCCCAAATTAGGAGGTTAAGTCCAAGCAATTCTGGCCCAATAGCATTCAGGTCCATTGACTTTTTTGAGTAGCGTGTAGCAACGTTGACTGGACCTCATGCTGTTCCTTAATCCTGAGCCTTTGATCTGATTCCATGGGACGTGTGGCTGGCTTGATATGATGAATGTATGGTGGTCCACAATATTATGCCTGCACCTGAATATCCTTTGAAAAAAAATATATGGAAAGTGTGGGGACCTGGGATCGAACCCAGGTCCTGAATATCACCACTCACGCCCTCCACCACTCAGGCCATTGGCTTTCTTTGTATATTAGTCAACAAATAATAAATATAATGCAAATATGGCAATTAATGGATTTCTGGCGCGAAATTTTGAATGAGCCAATCCTCGCTTGACATGGCATCGTCTTCTCCATTGTTTCAATCTTCCTGAAAAAATAATAAACATTTAACGGGGGTTTTGAACCCCCTCAAAACAAGCTTAATTCAATAATAGTGACTAGACCCTGAAGGCTCATAAATTGAGCGCGAGCGTCTCAATCTATTCGTTCCAACCTGCAGATTTCATTCATGGCATTATTACATCTTAATTTTATAGGAATTGAAAACGCCCAATTTGAAAACCTTGGAACCCTAAGTATCAAACATGGTGAAATCGCGTTGAGAGCACAAAAACACAATTAAATTGTATAGTTAGCATCAAAACTTCATCAGGAATATGAATCAATGAATAATATGTCATGAAGATGCATAAATTTTAAAACACGATCACAAATTTTTCACAAGGTATTCCAGGTTCTGTATACCAATTCCTTGCGTTTGGATGGCTATTCTTGACTGGAATGTGTTCAAGGGACCTTGAGCAAGCTATTGGAATCAAAATTATCCTTTGAATCGCCCTATAAAGATGATTTCAGTTTTGAGTTTTTTAGGGAATTTTTCAAGTTTGCAATGGAGTTTCTTGCGCAGCTTTTTTGTGTATTAGCATTAGGTTTTCACTCAGGCTTATATACTGAATAGATTAGGTTAACAAAATTGATCCAAATATCTTTCATTCATGGATTTGGAGATTTGATTTTTTACCATTATGCTTTCAATCTTTTCCATGTGCTCTTGTATCAATTATGCTCAAATCAAATCAAATCTTCCTATTTTTGAATGTGCACGAAATATTGAGGGCAAAACATGCATGAAAAGATTTATTAGGTCAAGTTATATATTTTTCACATATTTAAATGATTTAAATGAATTAATATGAATAATAATTCAAATAAATAAATAAAAAATGAGAAAATACTTCCCTTTGGGCCAAGTGGTCGTGCACATGCTTGGAATGATGAATCATGGAAGAAAAATGGGCCCATTAGCAATTTTAGGTCATTTGAATCAATGTTGACTTTTCAAAATATCCAAAAATTTCCCAACTTCCACAAGGCATAACTTGCTCAAGTTTTAAGCTTTTCTCATGTTATTGGACATTTTGGAAAGGTCTTTGAGTCCTCTAACCAATGCCTTTGGTCCCATGTCATTTTGATTTACCAATCTCAAGTTATGGCCTTTAACTTAAAGTCCCTTTTTGTTGACTTTTGAAAATGACCTATAATGTTGAAATTGATAACTTTTTGTGAGAGCATTTCTTGGACTTGAAGTATGAAGATGAGTTGTAGGAAATGTCTTTCTATTCAAAATGAGCTTTGGATGGAATTTTTCTGATAATCCATGTGAAAGTTATGCCCTGGTCAATTTCAGTTGACTTTTTCAGATGTCCAAATAAGGAAACTTTTGCATTTTTGATGATCTCTGAGCCAAATTTTGAGAATCATGATCAATCATTGATCAAATGATGTTTTTGGCTTCAAAATGATATGTTGACCAAAAATTTGAACTTTTGACTGCCAAATGACCATTTTGCCCCTACAGCTGACTGTAGTGCAATTAGGGTTTTTGACTATGCAATTTTGAGCTGAATGCCTTGAAACTTGATATGAGGATACTTGACCATATTTGTAGGCATGTGAGACTTGATTGGGCCTTTGAAAACTTCCTTTTTTTTATCAGAACACAAAACCCTAGCTTTGACTGTGTAGGAGACTTTTGCACTGTGCAACCTTTGGGGAATTTTGCAGCTTGGCTTGGAAATTTCTTGGAGAATATGGGAGGGCAAATTTCGGGGTGCAACAGTTGCCCCTGTTCAATCTTCTTAGACCTGAGGATGCAGATTGGCTGACGTGCCTTTCGTAATCCGAGGGTAGAAGATGATTGGACACTAGAGTGCCCAGAAATTTGCGCTCACAAGTTAGCAGTGATGGGGGAATGGGTTTATAGATGCCATTTGGAGATTGCTGGATAGGATGATGGGCTTATAGATGCCATCTGGATGTTGATCGCGTAAGAGATTCCTTAGCGAGAACCTGCATACCTGCAAAAGAAAAAATGAGTACCTGACACGTTGCAGGAGCTGATTTTTAGATGCTTGGTATAGATGTGTCCTGACTGGTTACAGGAGCTGAGTCTGGAGCTTCAAACGGCGATGAATGAACCAGGGATGGTTACTGCCTTAGCATGAATGGTAAGAGAACCTTGGGTGACTTTAACTTCAACAACGCTCGTTGAGAAAAATCTTGGGTGTCTTCTACTGGGATAAGAATCAGGAAGATCTTAGGGTCGATCTGACTGAACCAGAGAAGGCCTTTGACTGGATAAGCATCAGGAAAATCTTAGGGTCGATTTAACTGAACCGGTCTAGGTCTTGAAATATCTTCAACTGGATAAGCATCAGGGAGGTCTTAGGGTCGATCTGACTGAACCAGAGAAGGCCTTTGACTGGATAAGCATCAGAAAAATCTTAGGGTCGATTTGACTGAACCGGTCTAGGTCTTGGAATATCTTCAACTGGATAAGCATCAGGGAGATCTTAGGGTCGATCTGACTGAACCAGAGAAGGCCTTTGACTGGATAAGCATCAGGAAAATCTTAGGGTCGATTTAACTGAACCGGTCTAGGTCTTGAAATATCTTCAACTGGGTAAGCATCAGGGAGATCTTAGGATCGATCTGACTGAACCAGAGAAGGCCTTTGACTGGATAAGCATCAGGAAAATCTTAGGGTCGATTTAACTGAACCGGTCTAGGTCTTGAAATATCTTCAACTGGGTAAGCATCAGGGAGATCTTAGGATCGATCTGACTGAACCAGAGAAGGCCTTTGACTGGATAAGCATCAGG